ATTGGACGAAAAATGCCAAAAAAACAAACAAAAAACTCGGTCCTCTCCCTGTTCAGTCACCTGGGTGTCTACTCCAACAGTAATCAACATGAGGAAAAACAGGACTCCCCACAGGTGGGGCATCGGAAGTTTCGTAATAACTTCTGGATACGCCACAAATACTAGTCCAGGGCCTAAAAGAAGAAGAACGATATATTACTAATCTGCATGCGAAAGTCATTGCGCAATGTAAAAAATAAACTTTTTCTAAACCCACCTGTTGAAAAGGTTGAAATTTCTTCCATTGTCATACCGACGTCTTTGGCCATGAATCCTAGGACGGAGAAGACAACAAAGCCAGCATAGAAACACGTCAAACCATCAGCCAAAGTAGCAGACCAAGCGTCCCTTTGAAAATAAAGTCCTATTTAGATAAGGTAGACATGCACTATCACATTTATTGTATTTAAACGGATTTCACATTGATATAATCAAGAAATACAAACACAAGATGCAACGATTTAAAATTACGAGGGGTTATCAAAAAGTTCGTGGACTGAGGCTATAAAATTAGTATTATGTAGTCTGAGCTCACAAAATTTTGAAGGAACTTAAAGCAACAAAAAATAAAGAAATGTTGAAAATTTTAGCTTGATACGTTTATTGTTTCCCAAATTATTATGAAATAAAAACGGCATTATATCATCACCCAGCGCCGTCGCCGTTTAGTTTTATGACGCCCGACAACGTCATTGTTTTTCAATGTCTCTTTCTTCTACCTCATACACTTATTTTGATGAGATTCCCTGGAGCTGAGGAAGGACTTCAATCCATCTTGTTTATATGACTTTACAATGTCATGAACAGCGGCTTTCAATGCATATACTATTACAAATAAGATTTATACAATGGCAGAGATCCTCACTTGATTGTGCCAGCATATTTTGCTTTTTGGAGTTCAGTATCTACAACAGATGATAAACGTCATTTTTTTAACGTGATTGATTTTTCACACCTTGACGACTACAAATCGACATTAACTGTGCATTCCTTTTCTCTTTGAATCTATTTTGGCATTAAAAATAAGTAATCTGGATGCACATTATTTCTCCGTAGCCAGTTTAAACATTTCCTAGGTGTATACCTGTTTTTCAAGGGGCAAAACGTTATAGAATGTTGGAAAAGGAAACCCCTCCCCCTTTTGACGTCATTTTTCAGGCAATATTTGTTTGGATACTCCATGTAAAATTTACTATAAAATTTCATAGAACTTTAAGAATGAGGTAAAAATTTAATATTTTATGGAACAATAGTGTCCCAATACATACCTGAATTAACGGGATATTTGGATTCAAATGTACATATCACAATAGTTTTTCTTAGTTACACTTAGGTCGAAAAAAACGTCGTTTTCGAGGTTGCGCCGCATGGACATACCATTGCTTACAAAAAGATTACTAATTTATTAAAAAATAAAATTCATGATTTGTGATTCATTCTATAGATAGAAAAGACAATGATAACTAGATATTTTAAAATTCATTCATGTACCTAAAGCGGTTTTAATTTTATGGCGCTAGTCCACGAACTTTTTGATAGCCCCTCGTAAATCTTAATTTTTAAAAATCAAATTAAGCTCTTATACTGTGACTTACTTCATGCACTTGTTGTTGAACTTGTTATAACTTGCCATGGTAATGACGCCTCCCCAGGCCGGACCAAGAGAAAAGAACACCTGCAGTCCTGCTTCTAACCACACCTGAAGATAAATACACGTGAAACCTGTTTAATCCGACATGCACTGGGAGAGGAAATTTGTTTCGGAATAGGCAGGGTGTCGGATTGAAGAGTGTAAAGAAACATAGAGTAGAAACATAGAGAAATAGTAAAAGGGACCAAAATTAAACGTCGGGATTCACAGTGTGGCGGATTGCACAGTTGTTGGATTAGACAGTTTTCACTGTACGTTTGAAAAACCATATCTAACATTCAAGTGCAAAAAATACGATACTACGTAAAGGCGTTTAGTTTTCTATATTCTGTAATGAATGAAGATCTTACTTGAAAGCGTAGAAGTTTTGTAAAGTCTGGGCTCAGGTAGAAAAGAATTCCATCAATGGCACCATCAAGAGTAACACCACGTATCAGGAGAATAGTCAACAGAATGTATGGAAAAATAACCGTCACATACACAACCTACGTGAAAAAAAATTTCAAATAAACTCTGAATTAACAATTTCTATTGATAATTCTTTCTACTGAACTTACATACTGAAATCTAAAGAGACAAAAATAAAGCATACAAAAGTTTAGTTGCAGAACTGTTGCATTATGATTTCATATTTAAGTCCCTGGCAAAGACTTACATACGATAAAACCATAACGCTACAGTTCTGCAGCTAAGAAATATTAAAAACATCAATTAATGCAAGACAACTCACCTTTCCAACTGAGTGTATACCTTTAATAAGGCATGCAAATGTCAATACCCAGGAAGCAAGAAGAACCAAAACCAGGTGCCACTGAACCGAACCAGGATACTCTATACCATCAGAACGTCTAAGAACATTGTAACTACAAAGAGTTTGAAAAAAATATGAATAACAAGAAAAAGATTTTTGATGTCAATGTGTATTATTTAATATACAACATTTATTTGTAATATAAAAACACAATCGTGAACATACTGCCAAAATTCATATGCTGCCGTATTATATGTTATATTCTGGCTACCATAGGAAGTATTGAAAAGGGATTCGGTTTCATTGATAGTCCATGCTGTTGTAGATTGATTCGTCGTTGTAAAAGAATTGTTTAGGTTAAGTCTATCCTTGTGGCTGACGATGCATTGCTCTGTGTTCCACCAGTTATCACACGAAGCCCATGGGATCTTTGGGAAGAAAGCATGGACGAAATAATAGAGAACCCATGCAATGACCAAGTTGAAGTACCAAGCCACCAGAAAGGAGATTGTCATCATTAGCCATCCAAGGCCTACAATACAAAAATCAGTTTTCTTCAACAAATTTTATTTTTACAATGATTAGCCATCAAAGACTTATAATACAAAAATTCAAAGATTTCTTAATCAAATTTTATCTTAACGAAGATTTGCCATATATAAAGTTAACAAATTTTCTAGAATTTAATTTTTAACTCTATCCTCTGGTAGAAATTATCTTGACAGAAAAGCTTCGCAATAAGAACACTCAATGATATTTTCCAAGGGAAATGCATCTAAATAGATAAAGAGCAATAGCAATATTTCAACATGAAATGGCTCAACTGAACTGAAACATAAGACACGTAAAGTACCTTTGAATAACGGGGAAATGGACCATACTACAACGGGGCTTTTTCCAGTAAACTGTCCAAGGGCTACTTCCAAAAAGTAAAGAGGAACTCCACTGGTGAACAGCAAAATAAAAAACGGAATCAAAAAGGCACCTGAAATTCACAAGAAATTCACACATTGCAATTACATGTAACAGAGTCTTTCTTTATTACCCCTGAAGCAGATAACTGTCATATACAGGCAGACAAGGTGATTCCAGTACTTCTTAAGCTTTGATAGCGAAACTTTATTTTATCTCTGAGGATATCATTATATAATTATATAAATAAGTATATTTAAGCCCTCTCCCTTATATCTACTATATATGACAATTCTTATTTGTAGAGTACACCTACCTCCTCCATTTCTCATACAGAGATAAGGGAATCTCCAGATATTACCCAGTCCCACACTGTAACCAAATAGGGATAAAAGGTATTCTATTTTTCGACTCCATACCGGTCGGTCCTTGGGACTAGGATTATCTGATTCTGATTCTAATAATGACGAGGGATGGTCTTGTATGTCCATAATGACAAAGTTTCCTTCGGATATTGTGTATGATCTGATAACATAAAAAAGATTTAGACATGTAGCATCAGTATACTTGTACCTAATTGTTCCGTACGTAAAAGCTATTTAACATGCATTCTCTGTAAGCACCAAAAAATTTACTATAGGGCTTGGAAACGACATATCTCCGATTTTGATGAAATTTGCACCACAGGTGCACCTTGGTACAAAACCAGCAAATATGGTGTTAGAAGTTTCCCACATTAGAATCTACTATTCCATACAAAGATTGCCCATGACCTAAGGGTGTGTCATGACCTTGATCCAAGGTCATTTGGGGAACTTCAAGGTCACTGGAAGAAAAATTTCATAATTTGTGTTCGGTCCAAATCTTTCTTATGGATAAACTTGGCAGGCTCTCATTTCACACAAAGATTGCCCATGACCTAAGAGTGTGTCATGACCTTGGGCCAAGGACATTTGGGGAAGTTCAAGGTCATTAAAAAAAAAAAATTCGTGTCCGGTCCACATCTTTCTTACAGATAGACTTGGCATGTTCTTATTTCACACAAAGATTGCCCATGACCTAAGATTGTGTCATAACCTTGAACCAAGGTCATTTTGGGAAGTTCAAGGTCACTGAAAAAAATTTTCATAATTCGTGTCCGGTCCATATCTTTCTTATGGATAAACTTGGTAGGTTCTCATTTCACACAAAGACTGCCCATGCCATAAGAGTGTGTCATGACCTTGGGCCAAGGACATTTGAGGAAGTTCAAGGTCACTGAAATTTTTTTTCATAATTTGTGTCCAGTCCATATATTTCTTATGGATAAACTTGGTAGGTTCTCATTTCACACAAAGACTACCCATGCCATAAAAGTGTTTCATGACCTTGGGCCAAGGACGTTTGGGGAAGTCCAAGGTCACTGGAAGAAAAATTTCATCATTCGTATCTTTCTTATGCATAAACTTGGTACGTTCTTATTTCACACAAAGATTGCCCATGACCTAAGATTGTGTCATGACCTTGACCCAAAGTCATTTAGGGAAGTTTAAGGCCACTGAAAAGATTTCATAATTCCTGTCAATTCCAAATCTTTCTTACGGATAAACTTGGTATGTTCTCATTTCACACAAAGACTGCCCATGACTTAAGGGTGTGTCATGACCTTGAACCAAGGTCGTTTTGGGAAGTTCAAGGTCACTGAAGAAAAATTTCATAATTCGTGTCCACTCCATATCTTTCTTATGGATGAACTTGGTAGTTTCTCATTTCACACAAAGATTGCTCATGAGCTAAGAGTGTGTCGTGACCTTGACGCAAGGTCATTTGTTGAAGTTCAAGGTCACTTGAAGAAATTTTTTTATTATTTGTGTCTGGTCCATATCTTTTTTATGGCTAAACCTGAATCTACTACTTCACACAAACATTGCTTATTACCTGATTTTCAGTCTTGACTTTGATCCAAGGTCATTAATGCAAGGTCAAGGTCACTGACAGAAAAAGTTCATAATTCGTGTCTGGTCCGTATATTTAGTCTGTTTTTTTTTTATTAGAACGCGCCTTCGTTTCATTTATGAAAATATTTTGAACAATTTCATTTGCATTAAAAATGTTTTAGCATTTCTCTCTTCTCTTAGATCCAATTGATATTCATGATTTAGCACCTCTGAAAAACCCAGCGGGGGTATTTAGTCCCGTTTGGATAGTTCTAGTTTAAATTGACATAGTGATTTGAGCCACCGCCTCCTAGGGAAAATTTTCTGGATACATGTATTGGAATGAGGTGGACGTGCTGACGTGCCGAATACAATTAGCCATGTCAATTACAGCTAATGAAAGTTTGACTGCAAATTTCATATCCCTAATTTGAGAAAAACGAATGATTCTTTATTTTCCTGATTATTTATAAATATGTGTTACTATAGGCAGAAATGTAAAAATACCCTTAAACATTATTCTTATACAGCTCAACAAACTTTTTAAACTCACATGGTTTTTCGCACAAATTAAGGTCACATTTTTCTTGCAATAAAGCTTAAAATTTTCGAGTTTCAGTACGAGACATAACCCTTATAGTATTAAATTGTTTCACGTTAAAGGTGCACATTCTCTAAAATCATTATCCTAAGTTTTAAAAGTCAATGTTCTATAAGGAAATTTGCTTATAAATTTTATGATGTTAAATGTGTATGATTCTATCATAGGTTTTTCCATATTGATAAATGGAACTTTCTTTGATACTATTTCGTTATAACGTTCAAATTTACTTCTTAAAGATGAGTATTTTTCGAGGTACTTTGCACATTTTCCATACTTGCATTGGTTTTGTCGAAATTCAGAGCCGAAAAATGACAAAACTGCATAAGTAAATCATGTAAAAGTATAGGATAATAAAGTATTGTTTATCTTTCAATCAAGTAAATTGTGAATATCGAAAAGAAATTCTTTTGACATGTATGGTCTGAAACTTTGAAATTTTGCGTTGAAAGGTATCCTTTATGGTGCTAGATGTCAGGAAGTTAACTTGAAAAAATGCCATCTTTTTAACATGGACAACAGTCGAACAGATGAGAAATACTTCTATCATCTTGCGCCTTAGTGTTATATTAATGTTCAGAAAATACAGAAGTTACATGAACCGCACTGTTTCTGTATTAAAGCAAGGCAAAAGTATGCTTTAAAATGAACGGTTACAAAGACGGTTGCATTTGACGAGAAGCAATGAAAAACCATTTGGAAACTCTCATAATATATCAACCTAGAGCTTATAAAAATCCTACCAATTATTCTGTGTGAATTATGTTTAAAGTAATGAGATATGATCAAAATTAAGTTATAAATCATTTTTAGAGTATATTTTGTTGTCACATTACACAATATTTGCATTATAACAATGTGACCTTAATTTGTGCGAAAAACCATGTGAGTTTAAAAAGTTTGTTGAGCTGTACACTTTAGCTAAAGCTTTTTCATACTCGTTAGTCACATTCTGTCAATAACAAATAAAAGCCGTTTGTCTTCACTTTGACCATCCTTGATGTTAGAAAAAAAGTGCGAAAGTCTACATTTTCTCGAGAATTTGCAGCATGTCTATTTTCAAACATGCGTTACTATAAATAGAAATAGAAACCTCCGCTTCTCATTCTGTATTTCATATAGGTATGCTTTCTTTTACTTGTTGGTCACTGAATGCCAATAGCAGTAAAAAAACATATTGTCTGCAATCCAAAAGGTGAGAAAAAAAGTACAAAAAACTACATTTTTCCGATAGTTTACAGTATATCTATTTTTAAACTCATGTTACTATAAATAGAAATGGAAACCTCTGCTTCTCATTCTGTTTTTGATATAATGCTTTCTTTCACTTGTTGGTCACTGAATGCCAATAGCAGTTAAAAACAGATAGTCAGCAATTATTCATCCAAAATTTTTGAAAAAAGTACAAAAATGACATTTTTCCGATAGTTTACAGTACGTCTATTTTTAAGCACATGTTACTATAAATAGATATAGAAACCTCTGCTTCTCATTCTGTATTTGATATAAGGCTTTCTTTTACTTGTTGGTCACAATATGCCAATAGCAGTTAAAAACAGATAGTCAGCAATTATTCATCCAAAATTTAGAAAAAAAAAATACAAAAAATGACATTTTTCCGATATTTTGCATCACGTCTATTTTTAAACATGTGTTACTA